AATAATCATTAGTAACAGTTTATTTAATTTGTAGAATTTATAAAAGTTTAGAAAACTCTGGTATACAGGATTGCAGTTCGAACATCTGATGTAACCTGATTTACTTTATAAGAAATACTTTTTCATTAAAACTACGTTTGCACACAATTTTCGAGTTTGAAGTAATTCAGGTCATAGTATAATACACCGTTGAATTCATCTCAACGTCAGCAACCATTGAACAGCAAACATCAATATCCGAACGCTAATATTCTCTATACGTTGTTAAAAATAACTACAAAAATACGATATAAGATAATTAATATTCATAACTCTAGTGATTTTGATTTTGATATATTATGATGAATTTCAATTTCAATTTTATTTCGAATTTCGATTACATTTTCAAGATTACTAAAACAGGATTCAAATTACGACATAAGACACTTTATTTTGTATTCTTTATTTCGTTCGAAAATTAAATTTGTAATACAAAAAACTAAAATACAATATTTTTAGAAATTTACGGAGAACCTTTATCAACCTCAAAAATACTATACGACGTTCGCTTGTCGTGTCGTAGTCACGGGTTGGGCAGCCTTGGTGTGCGTATCTGTCAGCTAACTTCAATAATATATTTTTATAATAAAAGCATAATTGACAATAAAATGATAATGAAGCATCCTTAATGATAAGACAAGAATAAAATAATATAAAAGTTAAGTTTCCAAATAAAAAAATAATTATTCAAACCATTTTGTTCATACATCCTTTGTTTAGTTTCTAAAGTAAAACATAATTTCACTAAGAGTAATATTATTGTGAGAATTATCCATTATTTTTTATTGTAACTTTTTATCCAATCATTTATAAAATCTGTTTTTTAACCTTTTGGGAGAGTTGCAATGTGGTACTCATCTCGCAAGTGTGAATGATCTGGGTACATGGTTGTTTGAAATGGCTCCTTCATATTAAAATTGTGATTAATAGAATGTTCCCAACCATCTGGTGCTTCACCATTAGGTTTAGTATAACAGAACCCAGGTATCACAGATGTCTGCAAACACTTGAAACCATACAACATACTCATTTTCACTGACATAGATTTTAATGCATATGGACTAAATATGTCTCCTACAATTTTTGAAATTTGAGTATTATGAGTATATATGCCATATGTAATAGTTGACACCTTCGTAACACCTAAAAGGTTCTCTGTCTTCTGTGTACTCTTTTCTTTTATAGTATAAAAGGCTACTATGTAATAGCAGTTTTCGAATATCTTTAGAGCATGACTTATGTCATTCATCAATTGCGGCACTACTTGAAGTCTTTTCTTCATATCGTTAGTATTAGGAAATTCATATTTATTTAGTTTTAATACTGTTTCTCGATGAGGTTTTTCTGGTTCTGCATAACCCAATAAATTCTTGTTGGGGATGGTACCATCTGGATATGCACCAAAAGGTAATGGGTTCCAAGGTCCAAAGTATTGGTTTCGTGTTTGTTCATCTAACTAATTGCCTTGTTATATAAGGGGAAACATAACATTCATAAACATTATGATTTTCAGCTGTTAAACGGCCAAAGCTTCCTGGTGGGATCTGAGCCTTACGCTTTTCTATAGGCACTGTGAACTATGGAATAGCTATTTCTGGAACATTAACTTGTATCTTATCTCCAGTTAGTACTGTTATTATATTAATATTACTGAAATATTTAGCTATTGGACCAGGTACTACCAATGACTCGTCGTATTTATATTTGATTAAATGCAAGTTTAATAATACTGTCATGTAATGCTGAAATGCCGCAAATGAGAAATAACTAATTGGTGTCAAGCTTAGTAAGTGTTTATAGACCTCCTCACATAAAAAAGGGAAAGTTGAAAAATCCAAATTGTGACAGTATATCCAATGTGCAGGCACTGTATCACATACTGCATTACTAAATAGTTCATCCTTTGAGCCCTCAGATGTTGTTAACATCTTGATACACTATGTGAATGTTCGCTATTACGAAATAAACGATGATGATAAAACCTCGTTTAATGTAATTATATAGTCATAAGAAATAACAAAGCGAATACTGTTTGCAAAACCGATAATACAAATTATACTCGCGAGTTTTTCTGTAGAAAAAAGTCGATGATGAATTGGTTTGTTTTCAATTGTTTTTAATTGAATATGGGGAACCACACAGTGTGACCAATCCTTAAACTGCCCGATTGTTGTATCTCCCTTTCCGTTGTTGCGAACGCGTCGTGTGGGTATAGGGATTTTAGCGGATTTCACAGATTTCACTGACTTAGTTAAGGTGCCCGTGGAGCGCTGAATCGCTCTGCTCGGAAAGGCATGCGAAATGAAACCTCGAAGTACTTTTAGGAAAAAGTAATGTTGCTTATTTAGTCGACTCGTTCGGTTTAGATGTTTACGTAGTTCGTTACAGGAGGTTCGATTACAATTGGTCTCTCTGGAAAAATCTTCTCTCGATCTGCTGATCGATTCTCATCCTTCCTTCTGGTCGTCCTGGTCCAATCGGGGGTTGCGCTCTACTCCGTCTATCGATCAGAGATGGGCAAAACCCTAAACTTCGAATAAATCTGAAGTTTGCCGATATGTTTGTCTCGTTTTCTTCTTTGGAAAATTTTCAAAAGAGGGAACGAGACAAACATATCAGCAAACTTCAGATTTATTCGAAGCCTAGGGTTTTGCCCATTGCTGCTATCGATAGCTTCGACCATATTTTATATACATGGACTGCTCAAGCCTACTCCTTATACACTGAGCAGAGCGTAACCAACATCTCCATACCAAAAGTGAGACTTGACGCTAATGCGCATGCGTCAAATTTGAGAACTATAGCAAAAATTCCATCTCGATGACAGCTGACTGCAACTTGCTGCAGCTTTGACCAATGGTCGAAGAGTAGTTCCTTTGAGTATATAGACATATACTCAATATACATTTCTATATTTCTATATATATTTCTATATACTCAAAGAGTAGTTCGGCAAACCATCCAAAATTTCAATTCGCGCCTTCCCCCACTGCTATCGCCCATTGACTATAGCACTTGCGTACAACTGCTTACTCGTAACTTTGGTATAGGCTGACTGTATAAGGAGATCCAACTTCCTACAAAAGTTACTAGAAAACTGTTATCAAAAAGAAAATTCCTTGTTTTCTGAAGATAAAATCCGCTACAGTTTCCCACAGTAAGCGCCATCTCATACCGATTACCTGAACTAAATTGTCACATAACTTGCTCTGCATTATCGTCAAAATGGCGGAATTAGTTTTTAGGAATGCAATTACGGAAGGTCCAACGAAAAAAACGAACACAAAAAGTTACACTCGATAAAACAGGAAAATTAGTTTTTTTCGGATCGATACAAACGAAACGAAAGCAGTGGAGAGAATTTGCTAAAATTGCGGAAAATCCGATAGATGTTCGTATATGTCTGTTACGCTATCACGTGAACTTAGCTTCATGGCATGTAGCGCCACAACGCGGAATAGCTTAAACACTACCGCATGTAGTATATATTTATATTCAAATTAGAAGCGGAATTCAAATGGATTGACGCATTGAATCAACGAACCGCCACGTACATTGTTAAAACATTCGACGTGGGTGATCAAGCGTGGGAAAGTCGAAAGTCAGGAGAGAAAAGGGAACGTTCGCTGAGAATACTTAATAGATTCATTATAGGCCGCGTCGAATCGCATTTCTTTAGAATTCGAGTCGAGTTAGCTTTTGTTCCAGCTCGTAGGATCCTTGAAAATAACAAACTCGCGCTGTACCTCGGTTCGCGTTTCCGGCGACTTCTTCAAGAGGGTAATAAATTTCCTTAAGGGTTGCTGTGTCTGGCTGGTGCGTTTTTTCTCTCTCTAGACCTCCGCGCTTTCCTTTTTCACAGTGTAGCCCTGCACAAACATGGCTGCGCGACTCCCACCTCGACCCGACTCGGGGGTGGATCCGAGATCGATGAAGATCACCGATAGAAGGAGTAGGGCGCAACCCCCGATTGGACCAAGACAACCCGAAGGGAGGATCGGTAATCTTCCGGAGAAGGGAGAGAAGCAGCAGATCGAGCGAAGATTTTTCCAGAGAGATCAATCGTAATCGAACCTCTGGGAACGAACTACGAAACGATTTTTAAACCAAACGAGTCGACCGAATAAACGTCTTTGCTTTTTCTTAAAAGTATTTCGAATTTTATTTCACGCGCCTCTCCGGGCAGAGCGGTTCAGCGCTCCACGGGCACCTTACCTACGTCAGAAAATTCCCTATCATCGCACGACGCGTTCCACAACAATGTCAATTTTGGAGCTATTATTATTATTATTATTATTATTATTATTATTATTATTATTATTATTATTAATAAGTCATGTTCAAAATACATTTTTCATTAAAAGTAATATAATGTGAAATTAAAAACAACATATTAAGGTTGATTATGAAATTAAGTGCCTATAGATTTCAAAAATATTTAACATTTACATTAAGCTATAGAATATTTAGATTTATCGATTAAGTAGGCGTTAAAAGACCAATTTTATTGATCCTACATTGAATAGTATTTGTAACTACTGTTTTTTCGAATTTTTACTGGAAACAAAATAATACTTTCTATCAAAACACTATTATAAAACTTAACCATATGTTTTATATAAATATATATTTATTTCTATGCAAAAATTTGTAGTCATAAAATTGTTAAATTTATAAGTTGTGTAATTGTTTACCTAAATATTCCTAATAATATAATTTTAATAATAATCATACTTAATGTATGATTTTTCATTATAATTTTAACTCTTAGAATATTAATAAATAGAACTATGAATAAAAAGTCATTGAGGTTTATTATTTTTCCTTTAATTTTAAATTTTATATGATACGATTTTTAAATTGAATTTTGCCGCCGATTTTGGGTCGGTTTATGGGCTTCACTCACTAGAGGCGCTGGAACTCATATACATTTCAACACTGGCTCTTATGGGCTGCTTCTCCTCTATCCTATCTTCTTTGGTTTTGTGTTTTAAGAAGGAGGCGTTTCTAGAGAAGGGATTGAAGTTTATTTTCATAATCGCAAATAAATAACAATAGTGAGCGATTATCAGTTGGCACCAATTGTCGCAGTAATAAGGAACCTGCCGTTATCCATATTATAAACCCAAATAAGGTTTCACAACTTGAAAAATGCCGGATACATCTAACATATCTCATTATCCTTTAAAGGTAATATTTTTTAAATACAAATATATGTCTTTATTATTTCGTAATTTATATTTCTACTATCCAAAAATCACTTTGTCTACTTTTGAAAATGTTATTCAATGTAAGTTATGATTACTATTTGCTTCTTCTACATTCTTATTGCTTTCCCCTCGCACCTTCACGCACGGATAAATTGACCGATTTATATTGTGGCCAATTACTAAAACAGTTGTCGGATAAGCCCCTATACACTTACAATTACATTTCGTGGAACATTTTAAATAGATTCCGTTGACACGGGACATATTTCTTTTGAAATAATGTACGATTATGTAAGGGTGTATGGCAATGTAACAATTCCATAAGTTGCTCAACGAGTTTTTTTAATTATTGTATCGTTTTACACGTTACTGTAATTTTATATTTCCGAGAAACCGTATCCTAGAATATTAAATATCAACTTTAAATTTGAAGACCTTTTTTTCTGATCTGTTTGGATTTTTTCAGGTGATATTTGCAATTCATTTAGTACTAGTAACATGGTAAGAAAGATTTTACATTCTATTACATATCAATCTATAATTTACTACTACTACTACTCGATGATAGAGTAGCATATCAAAATATAGTCTGCAGTAACTAATTGTCTAAAAATTAATTTTTAGGAGCATTCAGGGATACTGGTGTCCAAAATCAGTTATGTTTTACAATTTTCTATTCTTCATCTGCTTATTATGGGCTATTCACAATATTGAGTCAGATGAACCATTACAATTTGTAAGTTACCACTATTATTGTATGCCATGTAATATTTTATTGATGTATGTGTATAATATATTATCTGTTGATTGTTTTAGGCACTCTTCATAAATGTTATTTCTATATTTTTCGATGTAGTAACATTAGCAGTCTACTTTCCAACGACATGTAAGTTAGCGCTGCCTTCGACTTAAGTCACGAGTAACCTACAGTGTATGGAATTACATTGTTTTGATTAACTTCCCCCATGCAGAAGATGTATCTATCTGATCTCACAAACTTGTAGATGCATCTGAGAAATTTAGCGCGGCGATTATGATCATAAATATGATCGTCCGTGTCTTGACAAGCGTATACCTTCTGCGAATAGGCCAAACAAGAGGTGGATGTTTAGCCACAATGTTTTCTCAGAGTCCAGCGATGGGTCAGTAAAACATTGGGCATCGTTTTTGCTTTAAGTAGGTGCATGAGGCTTTTTTGTTTAATTTGAGCAAAATACGTTTATTTAAGCAGTTTGCATGAGCAATTGTTACGTTTAAATTAGTTCAAAGCTTGCTATCGTGTCTGTGGACAGTCCTTGTGTATGAGTATTGTTAAGCATATATTATGTGGTTGTTTTGCACATATAATTTATGGTGTAGAGAAGTCAATGGCACATGTTGACAATTAGTTTCCTTTTTTAGGCTTAGGGCGAGAAGACTACGAAGACATATCTCATCCAATTCCACAGAATTCGGACTATGCTGGTTTTCTACAAGGCTCTGCATGACATCTTCAAAATTCTATGTATCAAAAATCACATAACGTTGTATCGTATCTATGTTAGCTCGTAAGATGTACGCGCACGCATACTCTCGATACTCAAATCTATTTGTCGGAACAGAATCGGTATATGTCGAAGTACTTAAGAAAAGTAATACTCGGTACGAACGGAGGAATGATAAAAGTTAAAAGAAGGTAATTATTTTTTCAAAGGAATCACCTTCTGTCGAGTTGTACCGCAGTAATAACAAGATCTATCGAAACACGGTCTGTCGTTTCGGTTACCTTTATTTATCCAAATGTTTACAGTGTATATTCTACGACAATAACACAAAGAAATATTGTATTATTGTAACTGTGTAATTAATTTTAACTTAGTTATACGTTTCATACATCGAATCAGCGAAGATTTATTCTGTATGACTTTGTATTTATAACATGTGAATAAAAAACTTAAATATAGTAGAATGATAAAAACTCTTCGGTTTCCAGTGTTATTATTTAAAGTTTCCGAGTGTAACGTATGTGAATATTCTTTCGATTAGTTTTAAATGTACTATATTTACGGGTGTCAGAATGGAGATAACAAATAAACAATTACTGCAGTGGAGTTGACAATTTAAATATTGTTTTCTATTTAAGAACGCTCAAACTAAGTCTGAGATTATTCGAATACTTTGTATATATAAACTTCTAATTTTTAAGTATTCGATTACCATTATTTGAATATTACTTTTCGATTATTGTTTCTTTAATTTTATTCAAATGTCATATTTTGCGTATCATTTTCTTAATATTATTCAATTGTCATGTCTTGAGTATTTAGTAAAGAATATAAGTGATAAGTATAACTTCCTTAAAAATATTAACATACATGTGCTGTTTAGTGCTGTTTGTAATATTATTGGTAATTATTTAGAAGTAGGTCCTCCTAACTGATTTCGATGTCCTTGAAATATGTTGTCAAGGTCATCATTCTGAACAACTTTTTCCTATACACATTACTGCCGTTCGGCCTTAGTTCCCGAGATATTTGCATATAAAGATCATACATTTATGTAACACACTAAATTATATATAGCATACAAAAACACACTATAACGGTTCAAACTTGTTCTAAGAGCTTGTGTCATGCACGATCTTTACTCGTACAGTAAACAAAATGGAGGCCCGGGAGCTTGCCCCCGGTCGGGGGTTTGGGGGCGAAGCCCCCAACTATGAGTACTGCAGTGCACCTCGCAGGTGTGTACATGGTCACTCTGAAGGATGTATATTGCTCTTAGGAGAGTCAAGGGGGCGCAGGCCCCCAACATGCGTATAGTTTCGAGGCGTATGCTTTCAGCTGAAAAACTATTTACAAAATTTAAAAAACATACATCTCACAACGATACGTATTCTGGGGATCTGCGCCCCCAAACTCCCGACCGGGGGCAAGCTCCTGGGCCTCCATTTTGTTTACTGTACGAGTAAAGATCGTGCATGACACAAGCTCTCAGAACAAGTTTGAACCGTTATAGTGTGTTTTTGTATGCTATATATAATTTAGTGTGTTATATAAATGTATGATCTTTATATGCAAATATCTCGGAAACTAGGACCGAACGGCGGTAATGTGTACAGGGAAAAGTTGTTCAGAATGATAACCTTGACAACATATTTCAAGGTCATTAAAATCGGTGAGGAGGACCTACTTCTAAATAATTACCATATTATTTTAAAAGATACTCTATTACAAATGAGTCCCCGGAAATAATATATTCTTGAAATCTGAAAACCGTCGCGAACTGTACTTCGATGGAAAAGGGGGTTAAAAACGGCGTTTCCAGCCACTTTTTCACTTATGCCAGCTATCTATTAGGGTTACAACTCCCGTTTAAACAGCTTGACACACTCAGATTTTTGGTTCGACGCATTTTTGAAATTTCGAAAATAACAATTTAACGTCCTTACAGCTGAACACTTACCACGAGATCCTCAAAATGTTATTCCAACCGTTATACCCCCCACCCTTTAATGGCTAAATACATATTTGACTAAATCAACAAATTGATGCATGAATACTGGAAATAGACGGGTAGAATAAATGTTCACGGTACATCCATGTGACTTAAAATAACCATTAATTGAATTTTTAGTTGTAAATTATAAAATATTGTTATTCACAGCCTCTCGCGTGAAAGTGTCCAACAAAAAACTAGATCTAAACCAGAGATGGGCATTATTTAGATAAAAAAATTATTTAAATAGAAAATTGAATAAAGATACATAACTTTATCTTTATTCGATTACAGTCGGAAAAAAAATGTCTTCGAAGTAAATGTACTCAAAGGATAAAGATAATTTAAATTATTTTTATCCGAAGGCTAAAGATATCTGTTTTATCTGCAGAAAATTTCAACCGTAAGATACTTTTCCGCATTTGTACCTTTATCCGACGGCTAGAGGTACCTGGTTTCTCCCCGAGAGTTTTAACCCTAAAATAGTTTTCCGTATTTGTATCTTTATACGACGGCTAGATTTATCTGGTTTTTCTCCAGAGATATTTACCCGTAAGTTATTTTCGCATTTTTATCTTTAACTGAAGTTTCACCCGTCGCGTGGGATAACTTTCGTACTTTTAATCTTTATCCAAAATTATCGGATAACAGTCGAATAACTTTTCAAGCGGCGTTTAGTCGGCGGTTGTAAAGTATAGTTATAGATAATTATACATAGTTAAATAGGTATAATATAATCAAATTTATACAGGAGTAAGGAAATGTATATTTGTGCATATAGTGTACTGTAGATATAAATTATGGTCTTTTTAATTGTTTATAACAATTGTTACACAAGGGATTAACCGATCGACATGGAACTTTCTACATTTAACGACAGCTGATTTCGCGATGTCCGAATCTGCAAAAAATGATGGTATTTTTAAATGTTTAAAACTATTGTTATTGCAAAATTCCTATTATTTGATACGACTCGGCAACGAGTAACCGATCAAGATGATTTCATGATGTACCCATGTAGAAAAATGTATTTGAAATGTAATTGAAAATTGTCACTCAGTGATACCGCTGAACGGGGTACCTTGCCGCGAAGTGTGCTGCACCCGACACACAGCTGTGCGCGGCCGCCGATTACCGTCGGCACCCGTAACGAAAGGATTACGAAACAAGTGTGTAAAATTTGGTTTATATCGGCCTAACCGTTTCTGAGAAAAGTGTACCTTTGTACCAAAAACCTAGCTCTTCAGGAGACGGAAGAAACTAAAAATTTGTGTCCCACCCTATTATCGATATAAATGTTATCTAATCGTATTTCTTTTTATCAAAATCGATTAAAACGCAATCTTTTTAATAATTTACTATTTTCTTCATCCTAGAAAACAATATTCTATTGCTGTAACCAAGGTAACCGCGTTTCCGGCCTTCCGAAAATTTGACTGTCATTCTTTCTCTCCGAGAAAGTTGTTAGTTTGTTTCCTTATATCTTTTTACAGTTGTATCGCGTTTTTTTTTTACCTTTTTCGTCCCGTAAGACTTTTTTTTTTTTTTTTTTTTTTGAGAAAAAAAGAAACCTTTTCTTTCAACAAAATTTTGTTACCACTTCAAGTGCTCCAAATTCAATTCTGTTTGCACAGAACTGTTCAGAATCACTTAAATTTTAGTTTAAAAAAAATTTTCAAAAGTGACTTTTTTTACTTTTAATGTTCCAAGCCCCTTACGAGGGTCACTCATGTAAAAATGGATTAGAATAATTTTCTAAATAGAATTTTGAAAATAAACCGAAGTTTCAATAAATATATCGTCAAGATGCAGAGAAGACGATTTTTACAGTAACATAAAAGACGACATTACTTATGTGGTGACCTAATATTTCATAGCTGTAATGTATTGTATTGTGAATGTTGGATGAATGTTTATATTTAAATCACTAGGTATGTTTGTATGTTTTATAGTTGTCAGTTATGTTTATTAATTTGTGTTAGTAATTTATTGATTAGTAATTCAATTTGTATTGCGATTTCATTTTGTCTGATATATTGTTTAACCGAACCCCAAAATAAATATCCTTACATAGGGAACAAAAAGAATATGTTTATACTGTTATTGGTCAAGTGTTCATATACAGTAGATCCTCAATTATCCAAACCTCATTACCCTAATTTTGTATTAGCCGAATCCTCTATCATCTGATACACTTTTTTATACAGTTCAAACTTAGACAATTCATACATGATAGAGGACGTAATATTTGACAGTTTAGAAATAGGGGTGATATGGTGCAAGCCATAACAAGAATGTAACTTTATACAATTAAATCTGTTAACAAAATTGTGTGATGTAACAGCTAAATAGATTCCTTATAAAACTCTAAGTTAGAATCCTTACAACTTTATCTAAATTATATTTAAATTTATATATGTGATTTTTATTATCAATATTTATATTCTGCTTTTTAAAATGCGTATGAGTACTTAGTTTGCTTTGGAAGCGAAGCATGTCACAATAACAATTTTAATGATATTTATTTGACCATTAAATTTAAATATTTAAATATTTAAAATATTAAATATTTTAATTTCAAAATGAACTGACTTATGGCATTTATAAAATAAACGATATATGTTTACAGTGAGTGTAGAATATACCGATAAAAAACTTAAAAAAAAAGTAAAAAAATTACGCCAAGTACATGAAAAAGTAGAGGACTCAAGGAGTTATCATTGAAAAATAGAAGATCCCCATAAAAAACTACAAGAAAATAGAAAAAGATGTGAAATCGAAATAAGCTGCCAGATGATTTGCCTAGATTTCCGCGGCCTGGAAGTCAAATGCTTGGCGTGGCCAGGCAAGGTCAAGGTGTCGATGAATAAGAATTATTTTAAAACCCAAAACAATGAAAGTGTACTCATAATATTTTCAGAGTTTTAAATTGACAAGTTATCTGAAAGTCTGTGAGAGAGAAAGTATGGGTATTGATAATCTAAGAATGGCCTTGCCTGGCCACGCCAAGCATTTGACTTCCAGGCCACGGAAATCTAGGCAAATCATCTGGCAGCTTATTTCGATTTCACATATTTTTCTATTTTCTTGTAGTTTTTTATGGGGATCTTCTATTTTTTAATGATAACTCCTTGAATCCTCCACTTTTTCATGTACTTGGTGTAATTTTTTTACTTTTTTGAAGTTTTTTTATCGGATCTCACTTCTTTTTACGAATCATTTATTATATAGAATCTATTTTAAATTTATAAAAATAAAATTGATATTTCTGTAAACTCTACATAAGAAGTCTAAATTATTATTTGTTTCTTTAATTGAATAGAGTAAAATAAAGTAATATATAAAAAATATATATACCTGCAATTTTTTTTCTTGCTGCAAAATTATTAATGTTAATGATGAAATGAGAAAATGACTCCATTTTTATAAGCTCTACATAAAAAGTCTAAATTAAAAACACTAGTGGTATGGATCTATTCT